CCTGAGCTGCCAGAGGGGTGCTGGCAGACATATGTAATCACAGAGCTCTGGAAGCTGGCTATTTTTGCTGTATCTTACAACCTTTACTGGTTTTAGGATCTTCCATCCCGGATGCATGAAGCTCCAGTAACATTTCAGACTTAGGAACAAGATTCTTCATTTCAGGACATGTGGCCAAACACCCTGCTGACATTATGACACCACTTCATGGATTAAGCAATTGAATTGCGAATAAAGCATCATGAACCCCACTAGGACATTGGAAACGTTTAGCTGGACTTGTTGAGACAAGTGTTTAAGATACATGGTAGAAAATGGAAACAATAAATGTCATTATAAAAAACATGGGAGACCTGTAGAATGTGTGGCTCCTACAGCTCCCTAATGACACGTAGCATCAGCTAGATATCACCCACAGCACATACATGGGTTGTGTGCTCTTCTGTCCTCTTTGATGGGTGATTTGCAGCAAGACACCTAGTCACCTGCCATAGCCTGCCTGCACAGGTACACCTAACAAGGTGAAGCTTGTCTGCTCTGATATCCCAGTTCTCTGAAGCTCAGCTAAAGATCTACTGTTGTGCACAGATACTTCCTTCTAGGACTCAGGCTTCCTGAACAGCCTGAAATGAGAAAGCATCCTCTTCTGTATCTGATAGAAAATGCCTCCCACAAGAGCAAAGCTGTTCCTGATGGCACCACGCTTGGCCCATAAGCCATCTTGTGTGGCTGAGACCCTTGAACACTAACACCTTAGGTCTCTCCTCACCCCTGTGACCGTCCACGTTTTGCTAAAACTGTCAGAGCTCACTAGGAAATAAACCCCAAAACTCGTCCACTGATACTCAGTGCTCCAGTCCTGTCCATCTGCAATATGTCCCCAGTCTGAGCCCACACATGTAAACAGAGACTTCTTCCCTGAGAAAACACACAGACGGGATCAGCAATGAGCGTGTCTGTCTTTGACTCCACTCTTGAAATGAGGGAGAGAGGTGGGAGGGAAAAGTACACGGGCTTCTTAAGGATCTGGGAAGGCAAGTTGTTTCAGTTTTCCATATGGCATATGGGAAGCGGCTGAGCAATGTGTCTCCTAACCAGAGGGCCTAAAGAAACCCCTGATCCCGGAGGAAGGTGTGGGGGAGAGAAGTAATTCATCTTCACTATTTTTTTAAACCTAATATGACAGAGTGATTATGGACTTTCCTGAAGCAAGAAGGGTTTTCCTCCCAGACCAGCAGCGGCTGGAGGGCTCACTTTTTCCAGGTCTGAAGGAGGGTTCACAATTCTGCTCGTGCAATGGTTTTGATTACGCTGGTCTTGTTTCATTTATTGGCTTAAAACTGGCATGAAAGACCAAAGAGGTTAGGCAGAGGGGATCATTTGCCTAAGGGGAAATGAGGAGGTAACAGCTATAAGATGCAAAGAGCATTCGTTTCTCGGCTCAGCACTTCAAACTATCTTCAGACTCAGCTCAAACTTTCCATGGCAGGCCTCATTTCTTCACATATCGCAGAAAGATGTAGATGGGAAAGGACCTCTGGAGATCTCGCCCCCTTGGTTGCAGCAGAGCTGACTCCAAAGCCAGGTCAGGTTGCTCTGCTTAACAAGAAGCATCAACTTCTTTTATTCAATCAACACGGAGTTCTCCTGCCTCCTCTCATACCTGCTGTCTGCAGCTCACCAACGCAGCCAGATCTGTCCTCCTCAGGAGGCTGAGCCTGCACGGTCACCCAACGAGGAGCAGCTCGCATCCCACCAGTGTCATCCTGGCAGGCTTGGCACCCCCCACCACAGCCACAGCCTTCAGGTGGCAAGCTCACCACCCCGGTTGCTCCAGGTCCCAACCGTCCAGCGATGCCTGCTGGGGAGAGAGGAGTCACTCGCTCATCTGAGCTAGGACAGGGACCCAGCTAAGACCTGGAAGGCGGCTCTGCCTGCTCTTTGCACTGGTGTGTGCGTTTGCTTTCCTAAACCACACAAAAGGGGCACCAGAAGCAGAAATTGTCAGTCCAGATGGAAGTCTAGCAGAGCCTGCAAGAGCATGACTGCACCACCTCCACAACTCGCTCAAAGCAAGCAGCCCCAGAGGAGGACAAGAAAGAAGGAAATCTCTGATGCCGCTTGGTTGACAGGACCAGAGCTGCTAGAAGCTTGGACCAGGTGCCATGGGAAGCAAGGAGGGGACGATGAGCACCAGACATCTCCCTTACAGCTCTAATGATTCTGTGTTTGGAGCGTGCAAGCTGCTTAGGAAAGGCCTCCTGACACCAAAACCTCTCTCAGGTAAAATCACTGAGGACTTTGTTGTGAGTTTATTGAAAACAAAGGTCTAGTCTACAATCACACTTGACCCAGTGGTAAGACTTGACGAGATGACAGTTAGGTTCAGCCAGTACACACTTCTGTGCAGACAATCTCTTGCAGTTTAATCCCAGCATGCACTGACTTCTAGTGTAACTTTTGGCGAAACTGTTAGCAGTGAGGGAGTTTTGCCCCTAGCTGATGAGGTTAACAAATGGTCACAGAAATGAAATTAGACGAGCGGAGAATTAGCACAGAGCCAAGAAAGGTGAATAAGGCCACTGAATGGTATCACTACTTCTGAGGAATCACTGGTGAAGATGGGCTTTGTTCTTACCTTGATAACACCAGCATGACACCATTGATCTCACTGGGGAAGAAGAATTAGACTGAATGATAAAAAGCATCTTCAAGTTCGGGTGCAAATCAAGCATACAAGCAGGCTAGAGATGAAGTGCAGTGCAAAATGCTGTATCCTCAACTTTTTCTGGAAATCTATGCAAATTTTTGCTGTGATCGCCTTGTCAGCTAAAATACCACCAGGTACAGCATTGATCTTTGCAGACCTAAGGAAAGCAAAGAAACTCTGCAATTTCCCATTATGTTATCTGCAGCTCTCACCTCAAGTCAGTGATGATGTCCTGCAGGTCACTGAGATGAAAAAATACCAAAGCAGATATTCTTCTAGCTATTTCTGCATCTGTAGCTGTATCTTCTAACTACCCATAGACGATGACAAAGATGTTCAATAAAACTGAGTAAGACGGAAGAACTAGTAGAAGCTGTGGAGTCAAGGGGTCCATAGAGACATGGGGAACCTGGCTGGCCGCCCTTTGTCACTTCCCTCTGTCCTGCAGTGTTTCTCTCAGAGGAAATGAGGGATGGCTGCTCACATTGCTAGTGCTGGCCTAACAGTCCGGTGCTGCCTCACTTCCTTCTGGATGACCAGCTGGATAGAGCCAGAGGTACTGGTGTTGGTTGCATCCACGTAGAAAGCAGAAATGGAGTTCTCTCTCCACAATTTCTCATTGGCAAGTACATTCTTCACAACTCATAGCCAAGCACTGCTGCAGTGGTGGGGAAGAAGTGTGAAAACTGTGATCAGCCTCTGCAGAGATTGTATCATCCATTAGTAATTTACCTTCAGTACCAATCGGTAAAAGGTGACTGTCAGCAGAAAGTTTGGGGGAGTCCTGAGGACATGCTCCGATGTGAAAGTATCTTGAACAGAGACTAGAATCCATCATTTTTTTTGAAATGGAGCAATAGTAGGAATATAAAATTGCAAAAGCGCAGCTAAAGGATACGTGCAGGCTGAAGCAGCACATTGATCACAGTGCCCAAGGTGGGCAGGAGCAGGGACAGGCGTTGTAAGTCAATCCGAGGCAGCAGCTACCTGCTTTTGAAATGCTGTTCACGGCAGGGGGGGGAAGCACCCAAACCCGCTGGGGCTGCAGCTGCCGGGGGAGCTCTGCGGGGTGAGATGGGGCAGCAGTGAACGCGGCTGAGGCTGACCCCGGGCAGCAGAGAGAGGGCATGGCTGCAATGCCTGTGCTGCAACGGCCCCTGAACGCAGAGCCCAGCACACGGCTGCAGCTGGAGATGGGGATGTCCCAGGACCAGAGGGGCCTGTTTGAACCAGGCCCATCCCTGCTGGAGGAGAAGGGCCCGAAACCTCTGACACCGAGCTGGGAAGGAGTGAAGGGGTCAGGGCAGGAGCACCAGGGCTGTGGTGGCCCCTGGGCTGAGATGGGTCCAGACCCCGCAAAGGCTCCACCCGAAAATGGGTGCTGGGCGAGCTGATGAGATCCCACCAGGCAGGCACAGGCCCCCGGAGATGTTTGCTGGTGGGAAGGGGCTTGGCAGCAGCTGGGCCCTTTACACCAGCTTTGCCATTTGCACTACGCTTGTGTCCCTCTGTGCCCTGGGCCCAGGCCTGCACCCAAATGCAGGCATTTGGAGAAAATTATGGTTGACGCTTTGCCCATCCAGGAGCAAACAACTGTTTGCGCTTCCAGTATCTGATCTGTTGCTGCAGTTGTACAAGCACAAAGCCACTGATTCTCACACAAAACTTGGTATTATTTACAGCTCCCAGTCTCAGTGGCTCATTGCATGATTGCCAAAGTACGAGTTTAAGAAGAAATGCTAACAGCAGCTTCAAAGGTCTGCAAAGATTAGAAGACAAATGCTTGATAGATCTTTCCCAGTCAGCTGGTGGGACACAGAACTAAAGCTCTTGCCTCTTAAAACACTTCCCCATTGCTGTGACTGACACAGCGCTGGTCACTCCTGAAGCCAGCCAGGGCAGGGAGGCTACAGCGCAGCATACAGTCAGAGCAGCCCTCGGCTGCGTCAAGCAGCCACAGCTTGGGTTCTTCTTCCAAACCTCCATTACCTGGTGCCGAGGCCTGACGGCAGTTTCGAGAGCTTCACAATAGCCCTGGAGCCTTTTCTTACACTTGTGCCGTGCCCTCGCTGTCACTGCCTGGCAGAGGGAGCGAGCAGGGCTCGAGCACACTGGTCTCCAGTACCCAGGGGCCGTTCCAATCACTAACACGGGTCTTTTGACTAACTCAGGCTTCCCTTCTCTACCCACTGCTGGCCAAGCCACCGTTTTTCTGCAAACTGACTTCTACCGATCTGATCGGAACATAACCTAAGATGTACAGACAACCATCCACACAAGCGGTTTGAAATATTTTTAAACGCTTTTATTTACAGTGCTAGTTGAAAACAATATATATATTTATATCATCCTCGTGATGTCTGTGCCATAGAAAATGCTGTGGCTGTATTGCCTTTAATTTACAAAAAATGGTCACAAGAAAATCTGAAGGGAAAAAATGGAAATCAAAAGTTTGGTCCCCAATTGTTTCTCTCTTGATTTGTTTTAAAAAAGCCTCCAAATTAAAAAAATACGCAGTTCAGATGAATTTCATATATAAAAACAACCTTATCTTCCGAAAAATTCACGAGGGCCAGCTTGCTGTCATGTAAACTTGGAAAAAAAAAAGCTTAAATTCTGTCTCCGTGTGTGTGATTTAATAGAACCATTATTTGCTTGTAATATTCTTTTTCTTTGTCTCTCAGGGTTCAGTGGGAAAGTAGATGAGAAGGTCTAGGACTGGAAAATGCACCATGAGATCTGTGCCCGCAGGCTCCTGGACTCAGGGAGGATATCTGACAGCAGGTCTGGGGAGCAGAGGATATCAAGAATCTCAGTCATACTGGTGACAAAAAAAGGAGAGCAAGTGAAGAGGGAAGGAGAGGTGCTTGCCATGTGAGGAGCCTGACATACGGGGCTGGCAAGGTTATGTACCAGGCCCCAGGAAACAATGAGATTCTTGAGGGAAGAGAATGATCATCTGAATGTAGGGCACAGCTGAAGGGATGTGGGGGACTGGAACGATTTCAGCTGGGGAATGTCACAGATGGGCTAGGTCTTCAGGTGAGAAGGAAACTGCTGTCTTCCCTGTTTGAGAGCATTTCTAATCTTTCCTCATCTGAGATTGTGTGAAGCCAGAGGCTAACGGACAGTGCAAGCACAGGCTGGAATGGAGGAAGAGAGATGGACGGAACAGAGGAGATGGGAGGGGAGGACTCAAGCTGAAGACCCGTTTTCTGTCTTCTGTCTCTTTGGATCCACTTCATCCTATGTAGGACACAGAATAGGGCAGGGGGGGAAAGGAGTTACCATCAAACAGTCACCACACAAAGGCACATCATTTCTCCACAAAATTCTTAACCGTTCCTCTTCCCTCCATATGGAAATCTCCATTTGGCCTGCCCTAAATCCACTCCTCTTTAAAGCATCCTTGAGTGCCCGACACAACTGTTCTGTTGATGGTCATGGTTAGGACATGGACAGCTCCACTTAGAAGGATAACCACGCTGTAACTTTCAGGAGGTATAAGAAGCCCAGGCTCACAACACTTCATACAGGTCCTGAGATCCACCCTTACAAGTCCATCTTCTGGCCTGAAGCCCAGAAGTCACTGGCATTTAAGGGGTCATCGCCCAGCACAATCTCAAGCACCTTGACTCTCAAACAGTCAACACAGTGATGGTTAGTGGAAGGACCTAGATTCCACAAGGGGTCTACAGGGGTGTATTATCCCCTTGCCACATCAGATTTGTTTACCCATCTGCCGCTGAAGCAATGAGACTCGAGGCCAATTTGAGATGCTCAGCAGCAGCATCCACATGGATTTGATCCGCACATTTGATCAGCAGGTAACCTGGCTCCTTCTCACTGCCATTACTCTCATACTATCACTCACCTCCTCCTCCTCTGCAGATCGTTTTTCTGCGTGACCATCCTGCTCTTGCCCATTCTCATCTCCTTCTAAGCATGAACAAGAGAGGAAATCACAGGTGAATTGAAGTAGCATTTAAGGGAATGTAATCTCACAATCACAAGGGCTGAGAGAAGGATTTTCCCTCCATGATCTTCTATTCCCCCACAGCCTGATTCCTCCCATTCTCCCTACACCAACTATTCCTACCTTCATCCTCATCACCACCTTCTTCTTCATCCACATCATCAGGATTCTCTTCCTCATCCTCTTCAGCTCCATTTTCCTCATCCTGAACGAAACAAATTGGTCAGAGCAGAAATTGGCATCAGGATGACATTTCCATGTGCTCTTTGCTGCAAGTGCAAGAACAATCTCCACAGCTCCAGCCACTTCAGACTCCAGTCTCAGATGTAAATCGAGTGACATCCGCACTGTTACTCAGATACCGTTATTCCCACCACCCCAGCTGAAACCCTCCTCTCAACTAGCCTTCTTTACAAAACAAATCCTTCCAGTCCCTCCCCACCAGTATGAATGTCCTTGACTTCCACAAGCTTACATCGCGACAAGCTGCTGCCATCCCATCTCAACAATCAGAATATCTCTCCAGTTACAGGCTAATGACTTAGCCTATGCTCGTAGTATACTTCCAGATCCCTTCTGATCTTCATCAGTCTGTGCATTTCCTCACTGTTCCTCCCCTCACCTTCTTCAACTTATACTCCTTATGCACCTCGCGATACTTCAGTGGGCAGAGGACCACGTCTCCTGTGCCACCTTCTCCTACTTGCTCTTGTCTCCATTCTGTTCTTTGACCATTTTTCTTCTTGCTGCGCCATGCTGACTATGCTAAGTCCTTCAAGGCTCATTCTCCACAATTATCCTATAGCTCATTCTTCATTTATGAGCTCCCTTGGCCTGCCCTCTTTCTTAATCTCCCGTATTCCCTTCATATTCATCACCCATAGCGAGCCAGGCTAACCACCTCTTATAAAACCCTCCCTGATGCCTCTAAATCTATCCCTTAAAAAGGCCTCACCTCTACTATCTCTTTCTTCTTTTCTTTGTGGACTGTTTTTTCCTCAGGTTTTTCCTTCTTTTCTTTCATTTCCTATTTGCGAGATGAGAAAAAAAAAAAAATTCCAGTGGCGAGAAAATAAAAGACGGGGATGCTTAAACAAAGAGGGTTTAGAGGAGATGCCGAATAACGGTGAGGAGAGAAAGCAGATTAGGCGTTAAATCTGCCCGCCCTGACAAAGAAAAAGCAGAGAAAACGCGTCAGAGCTACTTTTAGACCACACACGTTGAAATCAGAAGTACTGAAGAGTTTAATGTTGTTTTAAAAGAACCTTGTTCGCAGGACCGAGGCGTTTCCGGCCCC